CAATGGATGAAGAAGACGAATGTAAAATTTGTCAGGAATGGAGAGATAATCATGTTTAATTAAATGTCTGTTGAGAATAAAAGGGAGACATAATAGAAATGTAGAAGATGAGATTTTAATATTTCTAACTGTAAATAAAATACCACCTTATGATTATGTTAAACAGTTTCTTAAAATCAGTAAGAAAAAATATGACATGATTTATGATATATTATGGATGTTGGGTTATAGTCAAGAGAAAGGAGAAGATGTTAAAGAAAATCTCAAATTATTTATTGAAAGTAAAAAGTTTAATGTTCAGAATACAGTGAGAGATGTTAATTTTATTTTTAAAATGATGTATGAAAGAAGTAAGACAAATCAATTAAATTATTATCCTGAACTGAAATTATAATCATAATATAATAATAACATGTAAAATCTTATATGTTATAATTATACTGAACTTTTAACCTATAAAACATAGCTAAACAATCACATAAAAATCACATAAAAAGAAGTTGTTAAGATACATTAAGAATGGTTGTGAAGCAGACTATAATGAACAATTATGGAATGACAGAAGAAAAAGCAACAGAACACTATGGCGAATTCTTCAAATGTAACAGATGCCTTTATGATAAAACAATTGATGAATTTGGAAATGTAAAAAATGGAAAAATATATAAATATTGTCAAGAGTGTAGAACGAAAATAAATAATTGTAGAGATAAACGTCAAAGAAAACAAACGACCCAGCAACACCCCAGAACTTGATAACTACTAAAAGGGTTAACTCTTTCAAATGAAAAAAATGTCGGCCCCCAGCCCAACAATGAACAAGGTGACAATTTACCCAAATGATTACCTTAACGAAAACGATAAATAAGCTCCCTAAAAACCCTCTTTTAAAAACGAATAAGGTGGTTAATAGGTTTGAGATGAATATAAAAAACATAACAGGGGACCATCAACAGACCACCCCCCAGGCCCCCTACTTTCTCCATTTTTTCCCCCCCCCCCCCCCCACCCAACTATGATCACCACCACCACCACCTCGAATCATTTCTCCGAACATCCGCCCGCAATCTTTGAATCATCACTCCTTCACCCTTGAAAAAAGAAATTGCATTGCGTGCCTATTTGAATCATCACTTCTTCGAACATCATGGGCTGTCGCCCCCCCCAACCCCCCCCGCTACTTAACACATTTCGCAACAAGCTCTTCTTCGAGCCAACCCCCCCGCTACCGCCCCCCCCAAACCCCCCCGCTACTTGGTACATTTGGCAACGAGCTCTTCTTCGAGCATCATGAAAGGGTCTGCAGCCCCCCCCAACCCCCCCGCTACTGAGTACATTTGGCAACAAGCTTTAGATGCGCCCCTACTCGAATCATCACTTCGAACATCCGCCCGCCCTCTTTGAATCCCCCCCGGCTGCTTTTTTAGATGCGCCCCTACTCGAATCACCACTTCGAACATCCGCCCGCCCTCTTTGAATCATCACTCCTTGATGTTCCACCTAGGTTTTAGATTTGTTGCAGGGATTGACCGCAGCTCCCCGCTACTTGGTACATTTGGCACCAAGATTTAGATGCGCCCCTACTCAAATCATCACTTCGAACATCCGCCCGCCCTCTTTGAATCATCACTCCTTGATGTTCCACCTAGGTTGCATTGCACGCCTATTTGAATCATCCCTTCTTCGAGCATCATGGGGGGGGCTGCCGCCCCCCCCAACCCCCCCGCCACTTCGTACATTTGGCAACAAGCTCTTCTTCGAGCATCATGAAAGGGTCTGCCGCCCCCCCCAACCCCCCCGCTACTGAGTACATTTGGCAACAAGCTTTAGATGCGCCCCTACTCGAATCATCACTTCGAACATCCGCCCGCCCATTTGGCAACAAGCTCTTCTTCGAGCATCATGGGGGGGGCTGCCGCCCCCCCCAACCCCCCCCGCTACTGCGCGCCTATGTGAATCATCACTTCTTCGAGCATCGTGGGGGGGGCTGCCCGCCACTTTTGAAGATTTTTGTAGCAAGATTTAGCTGCACCCCTGCTCACATGTGGCACCAAGATTTAGCTGCACAGCTGACAATATTTTGCTGCGCCCCTGCTCGAAGCATTTCTCCGAACATCCGCCCGCAATCTTTGAATCATCACTCCTTCACCCTTGAAAAAAGAATTTGCATTGCGCGCCTATTTGAATCATCACTTCTTCGAGCATCATGGGGGGGGCTGCCGCCCCCCCCAACCCCCCCGCCACTTCGTACATTTGGCAACGAGCTCTTCTTCGAGCATCATGAAAGGGTCTGCCGCCCCCCCCAACCCCCCCGCTATTGAGTACATTTGGCAACAAGCTTTAGATGCGCCCCTACTCGAATCATCACTTCGAACATCCGCCCGCCCTCTTTTGAATCCCCCCCGGCTGCTTTTTTAGATTTGTTGCAGGGATTGACCGCAGCTCCCCGCTACTTGGTACATTTGGCACCAAGACTTAGATGCGCCCCTACTCGAATCATCACTTCGAACATCCGCCCGCCCTCTTTGAATCATCACTCCTTGATATTCCACCTAGGTTGCGTTGCACGCCTAATTGAATCATCCCTTCTTCGAGCATCATGGGGGGGGCTGCCGCCCCCCCCAACCCCCCCGCCACTTAGTACATTTGGCAACAAGCTCTTCTTGGAGCATCATGGCCCCCCGCTACTGCGCGCCTGTTTGAATCATCACTTCGAGCATCATGGGGGGGGCTGCCGCCCCCCCCAACCCCCCCGCCACTTGGTACATTTGGCAACAAGCTCTTCTTCGAGCATCATGAAAGGGTCTGCCGCCCCCCCAACCCCCCCGCTACTGAGTACATTTGGCAACAAGCTTTAGATGCGCCTCCACTCGAATCATCACTTCGAACATCCGCCCGCCCTCTTTGAATCCCCCCCGGCTGCTTTTTTAGATGCGCCCCTACTCGAATCACCACTTCGAACATCCGCCCGCCCTCTTTGAATCATCACTCCTTGATGTTCCACCTAGGTTGCATTGCACGCCTATTTGAATCATCCCTTCTTCGAGCATCAGATTTGTTGCAGGGATTGACCGCAGCTCCCCGCTACTTGGTACATTTGGCACCAAGATTTAGATGCGCCCCTACTCAAATCATCACTTCGAACATCCGCCCGCCCTCTTTGAATCACTCCTTGATGTTCCACCTAGGTTGCATTGCACGCCTACTTCGAACATCCGCCCGCCCATTTGGCAACAAGCTCTTCTTCGAGCATCATGGGGGGGGCTGCCGCCCCCCCCTATGTGAATCATCACTTCTTCGAGCATCGTGGGGGGTGCCCGCCACTTTTGAAGATTTTTGTAGCAAGATTTAGTTGCACCCCTGCTCACATGTGGCACCGAGATTTAGCTGCACAGCTGCTCAAGGTGGGGGGGGAGGTGGTGGTACCCCTCCCCCGCTTCCGGGGCGGGGGGGGGGGGTGGTGGTACCCCCCCCCACCAAAGTTGCGCGGGGGGGGGGGGGGGAAGGTACGTGCCCCCCACCCCTTGCTGTGCGGGGGGGGGGGGTGGTGGTGGACCCCCCCCCTGAGGGGGGGGGGAGCTTGCTGTGCGGGGGGAGGGGGGGGTGGTGGTGGACCCCCCCCCCTTCTTTAAGAGGTGAGGGGGGGGGGTTGCTGCGTGGGGGGGGGGGGGGGTGGTGGTGGACCCCCCCCCCCTTCAAGAGGGTGAGGGGTGCGGGACAGACCTGAAAAAGTCCAGCGCCACATCTGCGGGCACTATCAAGTAATTGTTGCATTTAACTAGATGTTGAATAATATTTCTATTATCAACATTCATATTTTGAGTTTGAATTTAAGTAGGATTTCCTTTCCAAGTAGGACCTTAAATAGAGTTCCGAGAAAACCTGAACAAACAAACAAATAAAACTCGAGAAAGCAAAACACATAACCTCGACAAACCATCACAAGTAAACATTATATTGAGAAACAACACAGAACGATGTTGCCAAAACTCCTTCAACATGAGCTGTTTTCCAAAGAGCTTGTACATCATGCGGTTTGGTCTTTTTGGGACTTATCGAGGTCGTTTTCTCTAATCTTTGTTGGTCTTGCTGGGGCTTGTCAAGATGCTGCCCCTGCAGTTGGAGTTTGACGATTGACCAGCTTGACCGACGGGAAGACTGCAATCCTCAAAACGCGCAAAAAAACACACTACCAGGGTCCCCTGTTCTGTATATAAAACCTGTTTCTTGCAGGAACAAACAACACACCCTGTCACTCACCGCCACCTGAGCAAAACGCACTCCGCGACCCGCGCCCCTCTAAGGGCATTCCACTATCCCCAATCCACTAGCTTGCGAGGATCATAGGCAAATAATTCTATAACAATATATCATGAGCCAGCATCGAAATTACTTTTCCAGGGCGTATTCATTCTGAGGTTAGGACATCCCGTATCGCTTTCGGTGTTGTTTTCTCAGGTTTTGGGGGTATCGTTTTTAGACGTCCCGTATCGTTTTGAGAAAAACAAAATAACAATAACACAAACACACACTTGCATGAACCACTCCTACATCAAGTTGACTTTGAAGCTAACTCAAATATATTATACTTGGTTGCTATGAGAGCATCTTTTCGGTAACATAATATATCAAGCAATTTCCCTTTTCTCAAAGGGTACAGTACTTTGGTACCCTTTGACGATGGCTTTCAAGAATATCCTCAGAAGGTACTGAGGAAGCCTTGGGGCTTGGGGGTTCTCGTATTCACGCAAGTTATTGGCAAGGAGTTGCGGAATAGTTGCCAGCCTAGGACATTTGGCGATTAGGTGGAGCCACCCGTCTACCTGCAATTCCCCCCCTCCCTGCTCCTGGACATCCCTTGTGACTTGCACTATCCCTTGAACAAAAAACTGGTTCCTAACGCACACTTGTCTATGTTGCCTGGCCACCTTCTTTTTTTGGGGCTGGGCTTGGGATTTGCCTCGTGTCCATGGCGCGGGCCTTCCCCCCCAGCCCTTCGCTCAGCCAGGTGCCACGTGCCGCGCCTCGGAGATGCCCTCGGCCTCGAGGAAGTCCCCGGGGCTCAGCGGGCGATGCACGCGCCGCAGCAGCAGCGAGGCGCTGCGGGCGTCATCCAGGCCGGTCAGCTCCACGTTCCTCGGCGCTTTTTGACAGATTGGCCCGGGGTTTTGGGGGTTTGGGGGTTTGGGAGTCAGGGAAGTGGATAAAGGCAGGGTCTTGTTGAAACACGTTTTAAAGTAGTTGCATTGAGAGGGGCTCTCCAATGGCTCTCCAAAAAAAGGGGACGAACCGAGGTTTGAGGACCTTATTCAATTTTCTGGCCCCCCCGTGACTGTCCTGTTGCGACCAAGGCAAACATGCCTTCAATGGATATGACGCTACAGTAACTATGTTCCAGGACTCCCTTGACCCATCGTAAACAGATTTACCGAAGGGGCTGGTTGTGGTTCGGAGGAACATCCAAGTGTCTATCTGAGACAAGTTGAGCTACACCCTGAGACTACACCCTCTTTCGATCTAAATAATTGTTATTTAGCGCTAATTAGACCTAGTTTGAGCTGATTTATATAGTCCGAATCGCCACTGGCAAGCCTTTCAAGAATCTAAGAATCTCAACTCCCTACTGTGGCCTGTTTTCGACACCGCTGTGACCCACCTTATTGTTGCCCTAGCCTTTCATGCCACAGCCACGTCAAAAAGGACTTGGTTGCCTCCCTTTTAAGACGCGTATAGTTTGTGCGCTCGACTGGCGCTGCTCCCTGGCTACTGTCGCAGAAAGGGGACAAACATGCTCAATTCCTCGGCCTGCAGCTGGTGATGACACTCACACTCACACGTGCTTAGCCCAACCCACAGAGAGCCAGCACGCGAAACGATTGATTTCCTCCCCAAGTAGCCTTCCACGGCCAGCTTGGCTCAAGCGTTTGAATTTGGCTGGAAATACCTATTTCAAATACACCCTGCATTTCCACGCACTCCGTTGGGGAAACTGAGACACACCCAACTCCCGTGATTATTTTGAATTATTTTGATCTACTTTGCAGTGCTATAGTTGTTTGTGAACGTAAAAACAAGGACCATGAAGATTCCAGGCCACTGCCGTATCTACGGCGTGACTGGTTGATTTGAACGCTGACTCCCAGTCATGGATCAGAACTGGACGTTAGAGTAACCTGCTGTCCACGCATTGGCTGTTTGTCTACCCGCACAATATCTGACCACTCTCCCTCCAAGCCTAGCGGTCACGGCTGTTTGCAATGCTAACTAGGCACCGCAAACAGAGCAGTTGTAGCACTGCGACTGGTTTGTGGTCGAGAGCCACAAAGTAGCTTCTAACATAGATCGAAATAATCCGGAAGCATTGCCTCGACACCTGCTTTTATAATTAGTCAGGGGTCATGGGGCGTCGGGTTCCGGGTGTCAAATTTGTGGCATGGCTATGGGCATGGGGAACGGATGGGGTGAAAGGGCGGGTTGAAGGAGGAAAAGTTGGCTCAATCAAAGCTGGGACTTAATGCGCACTTTCGGTAGACAAGCCTGGTCTCCTCATAGGACAACACATAAATAAGCGTCGACAAACACCGGCGATTAGACTTCATGGCTTTCGCTTCCTAGACACATCCCGCCGAAGTGCCTGACGCAAGCCCAGACTTCAAGAAAAAATGATTGGGTTTGTCTCGAAGCGATGGACCCCCCCTAAAAAGTGGTTTCCTGTTGTCCCCTTGCAACAATACCAAAAAGGGCGCCCTCAAAAACCAAAGACCCAAATGAGAACAATCGAACCAAGGCGAGAGCCGACTTTCAAACATAATATCGAACTTGGCGTGACCTGCAACATTGTGCTTTTCCAACAAGGTTGCACGAAGGGCTGCCAAAGCAGCCCTCCTTTGGCACTGGTTGACATGTTGCGCGACCTTTCAAGACTGGTCCCCGGCATGCTTTCAGCCTGTGAGAACCCACCTCAGTCAACAGACCGGCACTTTCTGCATCTCATCTGTGGAAACCTCTTTGATCTGTAGTTTCCCGTTGACATTGTACTGTTCTGGATGCTTCAAACGGGACACCTACCCCTGGCCTGGACAAGTCGCACTACTTTCGTGGAGCCCAGTGATTCGTGCAGCGGAGTGGTGGAGCACAGAAGCAGCACCAGCCTGTGGGTCTTGCGCAGCGCTTCGGCTAGCAGGCCTGCCGGACTTTGGGCTCAGGCTGTGTCAAACAAATCGGGGCGTGCTGACCCATCCTGTGCCCAAACAGTGAAATCCGGTTTCCAGTCGCATGTAGAATGTCTGATCAAACAGTGTCGCTGTCCCCAAGTGAAGGCGACGCTGGGAATTGGGCCTTTGGCAAGCACGACTTGAGGGTTTCCTGAACAGCTGCGTAAATGAAGAGGTGGCACCAAAGGCATAGTATTGTGCGCCTATTCTCGTCGCCAAATGTCAAAATGAAGTAAACCCCCTATAGAAACACCAAAGTAGTGAGCCACTTGGACCATGTGGTTCAACATGACCAAACCTGAAGGGGTCCACTTCCTTTACCTCAGGACCGCCTGAAACCTGCACATATGAGAGTCAGTCAACAACAATAGTCAACGTGTCGGCTGGGACAAACCAGTGAACATGCGAATTGCCCACTCTCTCATGGGTGTCGATATTTGCGTATCGCGTCCCATCATCCAAACCACAGTCATAAATTATGCTAGTGTGCCGTGCTTCCATCATGATGGCGGAGTGCCAAAGAGATGCAATTCTGGTCTTTGTTCAACACTTCTTCTAGGATGTCAGTGTATTCGAATCTGAATCTGCTCTACCATCATGATTTTGGTGAACAGCAATCATGTAAATAACATTACATGCATCCAAATGTATACTCACCAACAGTGCTCTCTGTTTGGACGTCAGAAAGGAAACAAAAAACACGAACAACATCCTGCCATTCGCCTCGCAGGACTGGCAGTTGCAGTGCATGGCACTCGTCGTCTAAGACCAGGAGCATGGGTGTAGGTCTACACCTCAGAAGCTCACCCCTGGACGACTGGACGATGTGGATGGCTCGTTCTTCCCGGCCCCGTTTGTCCCATGGCCAGAAACATCTCATATTGCTGTTCTGAGCACATTAGGGATGCTGCAGGTGTTTCAAGCTAATTATGTAAAGGATAAGGTTCCAGCTTCATTGACAGCGTTGGTGGTGTGGGGCAGTGTTGGGAGGGCTTGGGTTGGTTGAAGGTTGGGTTTGGGGCTAGCTGTAGTTCAGTCAGATAGGTGTGTGACTGGCAAAACTTTCTTAAAGCCAGCGACAAACAACGACTCCAGCAACCCTCACAACTGATAAACCAACGCACCCTGCAGCGAGGATATCTATCCTGGACCCTGAAGCCTATCGCTGGCCTTTTGCCGTCCTTTCGCGGCTTTCATGTTTCTTTTAATCAGAACGGCTCCCACGTCGAGTTCCAAAAGCGCCCGAAGCAAAGCAAACAAACAATGTTGTGTTGGCTCGCCTTACATCTTCTCTTGCAGCAAATACGGTGCGGGCATGGACCTCTCAGCTGGACGGCCTTCCAAAGCTCAACAGCAAACCCTCTGTAAATGGGTCACAGCTCGGAATACAGAGCACCTCGCTGGGATGAGCTCATTTGCACAGATTGCAAGTCAATGTTGAGCGGACTCTGTCTTGATGAAAGGCATCCGTGCTAGATCAAGGGCTTCACTTTTGCCATCTGCGACGCCGTTTGTTCCCTTCCACGGCCACTGAGACAACTTGGCGGCCCTTTCGATGTAACAGTCAAAGCCTAGCTCTCTGGGTTCAGGCTGAAGAATGACTCAATGGTGGCTGGATGTGTGGGTGTTCCTTGCTGCCTGTCATGCGTGTCTGTCATGTGTACCTCTGTGAAATGACGTTATGATGATTCAAATGGAATGTATTATCGTGCGTGCCCCGAAAGTGACAGCTGCGTGCTTCTGGCAATCCTCTGCACCCAAACGAATAAGTCAGCGCAATCTCGGAATTAAGGGAAATCTGCATGGGACGCCGTGCGTTCAGGAAGTCTAACAAGTCAGTGCACTAACTTGGAAATCCAAATGGGAACGCGCGTATGTGCCTTTTCGCGTCCAGAAAGCAGAAAAGCAGACACAGCAGCACCAAACCCCAATGAGACGCTGCATGCAACACATACCAAGTTGTGAGTGGAAAAGTGCCTGGTACTGCCAATGGCACGCAACACGTTATTAAAAAAAACAATTACAGGAAGACGTGTGTCAAAATGAAACCGTATGAAAGAGTTGCAAGGATGGGAAGAGAAAAGCTGCCGCAAACTCCGAATTTGCAAGGCAAGTTGAGCGAGATAGTGAACGAGTTGCTGAACGAGATCCAAACGTGTCTTGAATAGGGAATGGCCCACATGGCGCGAGCTGAATAGCGAAACATAAAAGAACTAAACAACAGATATCCCGCCGCAGGCACATCCTTTGATGCACGCACGGGCCCAAAGCCTGCCATGCAACTCCCTCTGTCCATGTGGTACAGCTACCAGCAGTTTTCCAAGAGCTGCGCAAGTAGAGCTGCGCAAGAGCCGCTGTGTAAGCAAAGATTAGCATGCGGCCCTGTGCAGGCAGAAACGTGCAAGAGCAGCTGCGCAAGCAGACTCCCACAAGGGCTTGCTGAGTGTCGCTGTAGGAGCCAACCTCTTAATCGAACCACATGTCCGAAACATCAACCCTCAAAGGGAGATACACATCAAGCATTCAACGTTTCCTGAGTTCGGTTGAAACTTCAATCCAAGACAACCTGGACGCGACATCGCTCCGACTTCCCGGAAATCGACACCCCACGGAATACACGAGTTGCAAGACAAACGCATCGACTTCTGCAACAGGGCTTACCAATCAGAATGTTGTGTGCGTGTGTGAGTACCACGGTCATGCTTCCCTGGAGGGATTTCGTGTTGTGCCAAGTGCAATTTCAGCGCAGGATGACACAACGTGTCCTTTCGTGGGCCCAAAAGCTGTCGGCTTTTGTCACAGGGTCGGGTTTGAAACCACTGGGCCAAGCGTAAACTGCAACAAGTCAACTGCTTGATTGAGTCAAGTCTGAAGTCTCTTTGACACAAACCGAAGGCCAGCGGAGCGCGGAGTGTCGGTCGAGGCGCCGCTCGAGTTGCTGCAGCTGCCACACGGTGCGCCCACTCTCCCCGTGCGGCTCCATGGGCATATGCCTGGAAGGGCAAAAAACATCCGATCTGCACGACTTGCTGTTCAACCTGCAGGCCCATATCCACTCTTACCGAATTTGCACTAAAAAACCAATCGATCTGAATTCAGGAATCCTTGAAATGAGGAATCGCCAATGATTGTTTGGGCACAACATTACTTGAAAGTGAAAGTAGATAGCACAATTCCCTTTATGACGTAACTGAAAAAGGGAAGCACTTCAATGAAGAGATTGTGCCAGGTGCTTTCACCCAACTGCAGTTGCTACCATTCACTGACTTAAATTCGAATCCCTCAGCATGAGTGAGCTTGTTTGCCCCCGTCTCGGTGAGCTCGCTGTACTTATGTCAAAGTGTCAAAATAATGGATGCCCGAAGGGCAAAGTCCCTGTCATGTTTCACAGTCCGAGCCTAATTCCAGGGAACATCAGTGAGCTGATCGAATATGTTTTCTTGGACGTGGTCTTTCTCGCCAAGCAGCCAAGAAAATGAAGCACTGTTTGATGGCTCTGCTGGCAGCAATATAAGCCGCTTTGATCCTCCACATGACATATTCGGTTCGAGGGCTTCCCATAAGCTCGGGAAGCCCACACCTTCCAAAAGCAGAAAGCACATACTTGCTTTTTTTTTCCGGGGGGGTTGCCCGCTTCCAGCGGGGTTCCGGCTTCCTACATATACACCTTCAAACAAATCAAACGTCGCCCGCCTGTGCAGAAACTCACTGTAGACAGAAATGTTTAATATCGCCCAAAAGGACAAAGATTGGGACCCGCCAGGCTCACACAATGTCCATGGCTCCGGCTCCAAAGCAAAATGTCATGCTGCCTCCCCTACCAAAAACAAGAACCCGCCTGGCCGCGAAGAAGTCGACAGATTCCTCCGTGGCGTGAGGACGCATGATTTTCGTACGATTTGTCCGAGCAATGAACCGAGCTGCTGGCGCTTACGCGTGCTTACTGTGCCCATCACAGACTGTGCAAAACATGTCCCTACTGATTGTTTGTGAGACAACGTAATGACAGCTGAAGCTTGAAGCGTCTTGATCAAACCAAAATACAAAACAGTGGAGCCTGCCTGCACGCGAGTAATGGCAAGACCGACGCAAAGGGGGGTGGTTTCCGCAGCATGGCATATGCCAAATCACTCGTCGGACCTTTCACAACTAACAACTTTCCAGTTGTTCTTTGACTTGTTTTACTCACGAATCAATGTCCACTGGAAATGCCTGAGCAGCCAGATGATTGGACAATGGCTCACAGGCATTGTCTCCGTGTCATGGTCCAGTCATTTCTACACAGTTGTACATGCGCGAGACCATGTGGCCTAACATATTTCAGTTGGAAGCTGCAAACCTCATATTCGAGACATGCATGGCAGATAACCATTCATATTACTGTGGATAGCACAACTGCACCAGTTTCATCCATCCTACTTCTGGGAAGTGGATTCTGCCCATCCTGAGTTTTGTTCCGCTGAGGCAAAGATCTGGCCAAAATCTTACCATTCACAAGCCAGAGAGTTCAAGCGTAAAACAGTCAAAGGGCCCTCGGTGGGATCCAAATCAATCGCACTCCTTCATCCCCTTCACCTTAGAACCTTAGGGATGGCAGTTTTTTTTTTCAAATGGGGAAAATGGGTGCTTCACTTTTGGCTTTGTTTTGAATAATCCCCAAAACACAAGACATACCCATATTAAGGATGCCCTGCCCACACTACATGCTGCCAAGCGTCTTTGATTACTTTGAGAGCGGAGCTCTTGTCATCTACTCTCACATGCAGCACGTTGCCCGAAAAGAGCCTGCCAAACCGCGCTGCTCAGTTGGACGAAGCGGGAGGTGGCGACAAAACCATTCTCCAATTTGCCAAGGACCTTCCAAACAAAGAAGCAATGCCGATGGACGACCCTCCAACCAGTGCAAAGACATCCGTAGGTACACGCGCACATCATTGAAAGCGCTACAAGGAAAAAAGACCCGTCAAAGGGGCATTGCAGACTTACCTTCTGCATCCACGGGCTCCCAGACTTCTAGGCCTTTCGCTACACTTCACTGCCAGGAAACAAAGATATGCGCAGAAAAGCAGGAAGTGACCGGCCTGTCACACACACACACATATACAGACACGCACCCTTGATTGGGCTGGAAGTGGCTCTTGCATTTTCACTCCCCATCTGCCCTTTGTGCCAATGTCACCGCCAACGTCTTTCATGTTGTCGTGTGACGCACGCACACAACTATAACGTCATGAACCTGTCGAATGTCACATGAATCGCAGCTTCGTAATGCTCTCATAAGCGCACATCATGTATCCGCATCTGCTCCGCACTGGATCAATCCGCATCTCAACAGTCCGAGCCTTGGAACTGTGGTCAGTCCCACACTTGCAATAGCGAATCAACCCTAGCAGAACGCCTCTCTGGATGATCCTGTCAGCCCTCCCATAGCCAGCACTGCCCCACCCAGCAGCGACTCCAAACAATATGGGTGAGGTGCCAAACTTAGGATGCCGGAAACCACAGATTCTGTTTTTCTTTGCCAAACACATTTTGGTGGGGGGGTACCCTATGTTTGACCCTCGCCACATACTGACATGGAACCCAAAAAAGAGCTTCAATGACAAATTCTGCCGGTTTCCTTTACGGCCCACTTGCATCGCCATTCGCCTGCCGGGACTGGCCGCAAAGCGTGCCACCTCGATGCCCATGGCACTCTTGCCGATGCCCTGGCCGCAGCTAAACTTTTAGGCTAAACCCGATAATCAGCACATGGGTAGAACAAATGGCTTCGGAGAAGAACAATCTGACCTTTGCTCTTTGAAATGCCTCTGCGAAGGAAGAGCAAAGGACACCCAGCCAAATTTCGACCCTTGATGTTTGAACAAAGGTCAAAGTTAACAGCAACTTTGTTGGGTGAAGGGAATATATAGTCAAGCAACGAGAGGGCTGGAGAGGACCCCTTTTGGTTGCTTGGATACCGATAGGAGCCCAGCCACTTCGAAGAGTCCACTTTTGTTAAGGGAATTGCTGGTGTGGCGCGGCCTTGTTCCCCCCCACTTGCTACTAGAAGCGCGAATCTTCCCGAACCATTGCAAGTAACGCAACACAAAATCAGAACAGTTATGGTTCCTATATACTTGGAACAGTTTGAGCTTCGACTGTACCACTGCGATTTTGTTTTTGTGGGTATGTCGCAAAATGATCGACTTCTTGCTACACTAAGTTGCCACGCTTGTATCTTGCAAAGCCGAAAGGGTCTCACTATTGCAAGCACATTGTATTGTCTCCCTGCAAACTTGAAGGGCCAAACCGTTGGAACGCTCAATTCAGATGAACACCCCTGCGCCCTTTGTGGATTTCCCAAGGGCTTCGTGACCATGGTTGTTTGCAAGGAGAAAACACATGTCTCATTCAGCAGTGTGGCTTCCACTCCAAACAAACATCTCACGTCCTGACCCTTGCATAACAGTCAATCCACCTGAAAGCTAGCCGATTGCGTTCGTGCCCACCAAACAAATTGAATGTGATCGGCCTGGACAGAATCACCAAGACTGAGAAAAACGCAAACTGCCCCATTCCCGCGATGACCTGTGAACCTGCGATTGTCAACTGAGCAACGCCACGCCCAGCCACCCAGCCGCCCTGCCTTGGGGCCATGCAGTGCGCAGGCGCGACGGTTACGAAGAAGTGTTAGCACCTAGGGCTGAGGCGTCCATGTAGCTTTCAACTTGTGAGGTAACCTAGTTTTGACCCGGGCCAACAAATCATCAGTTGGATCATGCCTTGCCACGCGCCGAACGGAGCAACACAGCACCTGCTGCATGACGGCGGGTCGAAAGAAGTCCTCCACGGAGGGCGGCAGAAAGGTGAGCTGCTCCTGGAAGCACCCCGCGTCCTGGCAGCAAAAATGCAACCCACATGGAAACCTGCCAAACCACGCATCTGTTGATGGCTCGGTTGTTGAAATGACCTTTCCGTTCATGGCGTTTGAAGGCCAAAGGCCCTGGGTGTCTTGAGACCAGGTCATCCTTTAAGCCAAACCCTAGAGAGACAACGGTACATGATCAGCCATGAGCATCATGAGCAGACACCGAACTGCACGCTGCCTTTTCCGTCCTCAGACGTAAGGGATGCACAAAACAATCAAGCCTACAAAAACAATCGTACTTATTTGCGCCTTTTCAAGGAAGCACAGAAACAGTGCTTCTGGCAACTGAAAAGGGGAGATGGCACACAATTCTTTCACAATGGACCTACCTGGGCCGTCACAATGTACAAGCAGTGGTTCAAGCGATCTCTCCACAATACACAAAGCGCCAGACAATGCGCAAAGCGCCAGACAATGCGCAAAGCGCCAGACAATGCGCAAAGCGCCAGACTATGCGCAAAGCGCCAGACAATGCACCATTGCGACAATATGCGTGAGGCACGACTGCAGCCTGTAGGCTGACAACAATGAAACAACCTCAATTGGCAAAATGCCGGGCAATGAATGATGCCGGACAATTGTGGGCTTGGGCGGGCGGGAGTGAAAAACAAAAACGTCTGGCGCTCCCACCCTACCTCGCCCTGAGCCACACACTCTGGCAGGGACATATCTTGCCCTCTTTGAACATGTGACTCGTCTGGTTTCAATTCCTGACAAAGCAACCCAACAAGCAAAACAAAGCTCAAGGGTTTGTTCTGAAAGGATAGGCCTCTCAACAAGTTGAACGGCTTCATCCTTTAAGCCAAACCCTAGAGAGACAACGGTACATGATCAGCCATGAGCATCATGAGCAGACACCGAACTGCACGCTGCCTTTTTCCGTCCTCAGACGTAAGGGATGTGGTTGCACAAAACAATCAAGCCTACAAAAACAATCGTACTTATTTGCGCCTTTTCAAGGAAGCACAGAAACAATGCTTCTGGCAACTTAAAAGGGGAGATGACACACAATTCTTTCACAATGGGCCTACCTGGGCCGTCACAATGTACAAGCAATGGTTCAAGCGATCTCTCCCCCTTTTCCTTTCAGCGCCTTGCCATCTGCTGCCAAATACGATGCGAACGAAATTGAGCTGGAGAGCAGCTGCAACAATTCGCAGCTCAGCTCTGGAGAGCTCTGCGCAGTTCCTTTGATCAAGCCTGCTGCCTGCTCTGCCTGTCCCCTGCTGGGCAAGTCCGCAATGTTAGATTTGCTCGGCACTCTGGACACCCACAAAAGACTGCCCAGATCTGCTACTGCCTGAAAAATCTGTGACAACATTGCAAACAGAGTTGGGGATCTGGAGCCAGCCTTGATCAAGCAATCCCGCACTGCGTTATTGTCCACAAAAGCAGAACCCTCCGCGTCGCCACCAAGTCCTTATGATGCAAGATGGCTGCCAGGACTGGCAGCAGCTCCAGTTCTGCTATGAGCTGCGACCTGCCCGACTTCTTCCAAACTCCAACAAGGCAGCTGGGGATTCCCAGCTCAATACCAACCTTGTCGCTTACCTGATCCACGATGACCCAACCTGCTCCTCCTGCGGGTCTGTCCGAAGTTGGCTCCCATGCTCCATCTGTGAAAAGAACCACTGGAGTTTCGCAATCGTGACGCGGCTTGGGGTTGCTCAACATTTTGCACAAGAAAGACATAGCATCGTACAACTGGTCTTGCAAGCTGTCTTCCCAGCCATCCCGGGCTATACCTGCCAAGAAAGCAGTCACGGGCTTGAGCGCTGCGCCGACATGCTGGCCTTGAGCAAAGGTGAGCTGGCCCGCAAGTGAGGAGGCCACGCCCTCCTGTATGCTCTTTGATGGTGAGACAGCCGGCCGCACAATTTCCAGCCTAAACAATCCAACAGCTGCTCAAAAGAGTCTCTGGCTGAGCAAGAAACTTCTTCCAGTTCAACTGATGGATAGTCGTCAAAATAGCAGGTGTGCCAGAGAGAAAGCAAGTGCGCGCCTATGTGCCATAGAGACTTGCTTACTCTGTTGAACCCGTAGACTGCAGAGGTTGATCCAAACATGAGAGCAGCTGCCCGGAAGAAAGCTGGGGTGTTGCTGTCCGGATCATGAACCACAATATGGCGGTTCCAAGAGTTTGTAGGCTGCCGTCAAGTCCAGCGTCCGCCCCAAGAGCTTGAAGTTGCTTCGCCAAGCCGGAGAGGGGGTGACTTTAACACATTCACCGCAAGACAAGTGGAGTCGGACCGTGCCCCCTGCTGCAGCTTTCATAATGCACAGCACCAATGATATCAAGGCGTCTGAACCTACATGTTTGGTGACCTCCGCCTCTGTGAAGGGGCCGTGCAGCCAGCCCGCATCTCGCTCCTGGAGTGTTTTCAGCCAGACCTCTTTGTCAAGCTGCCTGTCACCAGTCGACCTGCATTTTCCCGTTGAGGCTTTCCTCATCCACAGTGCCTGGGCTTTCAAACTTTCCACCGATTGCTGCGGAGGGACATATTTGTGGGGGAACTCTTGGCTCACAGGAGATTGCCCACACAACTCGAAACCCCTGACCACCTCATTCAACAATGAAGAGTCGTTGTATCCAGTTTCCTGCGTCAGCTCTTTCCACAGAAGAAGATTCTTGCCTTTCAGGACCAGCCCGACTTCGTGATGAAGCGAGTTGTGCAGCTCTTGCTCTTGCGCTTGCAGCTGCAATCGTCTCCTCTGAATCTTCTTGATTTGCAGCCTACGTCTGGCAACTGTGAGCTGGGACCCATCGTTCAGGACCCTGGCCACATTTCTCATCAAGATGTCAGGCAAAGGAAAAGCAAAGTCAAGCGGGTGCCAAGCTTCCAAGGATGCAAGGAAAAATTCATGGGGAGACCTGTAGATGCCAAAAAGGGCAGCCTGTTCATCCTGCACCTCAACTTTGGTACCACAGCTCTCTGAGGAAACGTCCCCCCTTTTCAGGAAAGGAACATGGTTCAACTGTTTGGCCATAAACATGTCTGAGGGTTTAGTGTCTGTGATCACTGCGTATTCTGCAACCAAGGGCGGCAGTTTCTGCTGCCCGGCTTGCCGAAAAGCACGGCCACGAACCAAGTGCGCGTTTGCCAGGTGTGCATCTGCAATGATTGCCCCTCTTGAACGGCAAACATGCAAAACAAGCTGACGGACGCGCTGGCACAACAGGTCGGGGTGAGTTGCTTCTGCTGCTGGTGGAAACATAAGCTGGGCATTGGCAGCAGCACATGGCGTCCACTCTGCATGCTGGTGGCACCCGTCACATAGTTTTTGCAGGTTTTCGAAAACGCCCTGCATGGTTCCATTACAAGCGCCACCGTGCACGCAGGCCGCAAAAACATTCGATCGCAGACTATGCCAAGACTGATGCAAAACTGCGTGTTTGCTGCAAAGAGACTTTAAGACAAACCACATGTATGAGCTGCTGGGCCCTTCCACGCTGACGACTGCCCGTCGGTGAACCAGCAGCGCCACCGCAATCAACGTAACGGCGTACAACACGTTTGCTGAATGCACTCTTTGTCTGTCCTGGCCCTGCAGCCATGGAAAGCCCATGCAGCGCTGTTCAGATCTGAGCGGTGGCGCCCTTGAAGATGTCGCGCGTGGCGGTGCGAAGTGCGCATATGCAATGTTCGCAAAAACGCATGCATGCAAAAGAACGAATTGGTCCTTGGGCTTTGTGAGGTCAAGCTTCAGTAGTTTTACTTTGCAAAATCTGTGCTGCTGTTGGTCAACTGACATCACAGTGAAACCTGCTGCTCGGCATTCGTGTGAAAGCGAGGCCACTCCCGCGAACACTTCCAGAACCAATAGCTGCTCAAGAGGGCACACAAAATCTACTGGCTTCAAGGAAGCGAACGGAACCGGTAAGGAAAATTGAAAAGGGCCGACCTTCATGGTTGCTTCTTCTGACTGCCCCGGGGCCGGCCGAAGCGCTTCCGACCCTTGCGTTGTAACTCAGCTGCAGTTGCACCTGGTGTGCGGATGCTTTCCATGGCAGCCTGCCTTCCAGCAAACATGCAATCCCCTGCTGTAACTGTCTGCATCCTGGTGATTACAGCGCTCTTTGTTATACTGGAAACAAATTCTCTGCTTTGACGGTGTTTCCGGCACACACCCCGAAGGCAAGTCAATGCCTTTGGATTTGCCCTTTCCTTTGTTGCGGCTTGGGCGGCTTGGGCCTGCTGGCGGTGGCCAATGCTCTACCTTCTGCTTTTTGGCAGGAGGAGGGTCTGCGCGGGACGACAAAGGCAAGGGTAGCAGGTGGTACCTTGGAATCGAACGCAGTCTGCAAGGCCTGATCCACTGGCCTGCTGATGTCAGTTAGCTGCTTGCCACGTACCTCCTGAGCAGCTGTCAGCCACATTTCCTGGTCGGCCATGATGAGTTGCTGCAGAGACACGGCGCGGAATCCCTTGGCTGGCTCCTTTGTGAGGAGCGAGAACATTCTTTGTACTATTGCATCAAGCTTTGGAAAGAAACACACACTCGCCAAATGGTACTCCTCTGCATGGCCATACGGACACGAAGCTCGCCGGAAATGTCCATTCTAATTTCCTTCTGCTTTCGGCTCAGCTTCATGGTGCCATCTGAAGAGAACTCAATTGCCGAATCCTTCCTCTGGTTCAGAAGCTCCATCTCACGCGAAACGCATTCTGTCAGCGATGTACCGCAGTGAGGATTCTTCTGCTTGCTGAACTGTGGCATCAACAAGCCTATGTGCGGGCTCCAAATTAGCATCGATCGTGATGCCCACCAGTTCCTGCTTGGCAAGGCGTAACTTCTCGACACGTTCGGGCATAAGGAGCCTTCTGGGTTCCTCTTCCCCTTTTCGCTCTAAGCGCGCTTTCGGGTCTGACATTGCCAAGGTGTGCGACTCAAAG